AGGTGGTTTTGCCGAGATCAAGCAGAGAGCAGGCAAATGCAATCTGGTTGATATCATCTGGTGGCAGGCCTAACTCCCGTGCCAGAACAGCACCCCAGACCGCGCAGGAGATGGCGTGGGAAAAAATATAGTCATCCATACGGCGCATTCGAGTCAGCGCAGCTAATGCAGTCTGATTGCGCATGACACTTTGTACCAGCGGGGTGATGGCATCTTCTATGGCATTGATGTCGAAACCGCCGTTACTCTGCAGTTTTACCACACAGGTTGAGAGGATGGCTTCCGCTTCATCCAGGGAAGTGCTGGCGCTGGGCATCTCATCATTAATACTGATGGTATTTTCATAAGCGCGTGGTGCCTTGGGTACCAGGCGTTCGCGGGCAGAGGGTTTTGTCTCTACAGCCGGATGAGGGCTACCGTTACTGACAACGGCTTTCAGTTTTACTTCGCCCAGCTTGGAGTCATAGCGGCGGGGGTCGACGTACACAAACGCACAGTTGTTTGCTATCCGTTCTATCATGCCGGCATTACGCACATAAAAACCCTGCAGGGGAAAATTGGTTTCTTCCCAGGGGCGATCAAGTTGAGCGACGTACATACCCACGGTGAGTTTCGACGGCTCTGTCTTGTGCAATCCCTTGTAGTTCGGCTGTAGATCCATGTGGCCGTTATCTGTGGGTCCTGGAACGCTGAGTTTACGGTGGTTCAGTTACAGCCTATGTGACGCGGTTGGCGTTTTCTCTGTTGGGTGTCAGGCCTGCTGAGCAAAAGTGTCAAATTTGTGGCGCGTGCGTGGGCCTATGCCCGCTACGGCTAACAACGTTCGAGAAACAGATTCAGTACTGCCTGCGCTTGCATTTATACTATGTAATACATAGTATGTGTTGCATAGAGTGTGACAGACAGTGTTTGAGCATGACTGACGAATCAGAAATTGGCGAAAAACTCCGCTCAGAAATTCGGCGCGGAGCGCTGGTGCTTGCGGTTCTGGCGCAGCTGCGCAAAGAACACTATGGCTACTCGTTACGTAAAAGTCTGGCCGCAAAAGGGCTGCAGGTCGAAGAAGGCACGCTCTATCCACTGATACGGCGTCTTGAAAAGCAGGGCTTGCTGGTCAGCGAATGGCGCGAAGAAGACAAGCGCCGCAAGCGCTTCTACACGCTGTCTGATATGGGCCGGCAGGTCTACCTGGGCCTTTACGAAGATTGGCGCGAGCTGGATGAGAGCATTCAGCAACTGATATAGCTTTTAAGAGGACAACATCATGCAACTGGTAGAAAGTTATTTATACGAAGTAGGGCGTTTCTTACCCAAGGAAGAGCGCGATGAACTCCTTGCTGATCTTCGTGACGACATTTTAGGGGAAATTGAGGGTGCCGCTGAAGCTGCAGGTCGTGCACCGCAAGTTGCTGACGAGCAGGAAGTCATTGCTCGGTTTGGCCACCCTTTGAAAGCGGCTGGCCGTTATCAGAAACCTCGCGCGCTCATTGGCACGGATCTCTATCCGGCGTTTATGCATACTTTGAAAGTAGTCTCCAGTGTCGCGGTGTTTGGGTTGTATCTGGTTTGGCTGATTGGCGGTGAGGCGGCAGATTGGCGTTTGGGTCCTTTTGCGCTGCTGGGTATGTTCATCGAGGTGTTGCTCTGGGTTTTTGCAAGTGTGGTGCTGGTGTTTGTCGCCATCGAATACTCGGGAGAGCGGCTGCGGTGGTATGAAAACTGGCGGCCCAGTGCGTTGAGTTCAACAAGCCTGGGTGTGATTAATCGTCAGGACGTGATCACCAACCTGATTTCGGAAGGCTTTTTTCTCCTCTGGTGGAACAATGTGGTTGTCCTGGTCGGGTTTTTGCCTGAAGGGGCTGCTGAACAGGTGATTGCTTTGTCACCCATCTGGGCTACTTTCTTCTGGCCACTCAACATCATCTTTGGCGTGCTGTTTCTGTTGCATTTCTATGTGCTGGTGCGTGGTATCTGGCAGCGGTATGTCCTGCTGGCTGAAGTAGTTGGCAATACTGCCTTATTGGCCATCGTGGGTGTCCTGTTGAGTAGTGGGGATCTGGTTCTGCTTAATGATCAGTTTCCAAATGGCTTTGCGTCCAATGCGCAGCTGGTGGTGAAAGTAGCGTTGTCAGTTGTGTGTGCTGCAATACTCTGGGATATCTGGCTTGCGTTTAAGGCATTTCGCGGGGCCGCTGCCAGACTGCGAGCGCGAATCTAGCCAGGCTCCCTGGTTCTCCGCAGGTGGGTCATCGTTATACAATGGGGATCCATGTCTTCTCTTTTGGATAATTGAATGGCTGATATTGTCAGTGCGGAGCTGAAAGATCCGCGTATCAGAACAGAATTTGTAGATGCCAACGGACTGCGCTTCGAAGTCGACAAATGTGGGAGTGGCGACAAGCTGGCGTTGTGTCTGCACGGCTTCCCGGAACACAGTTTCAGCTGGCGTTATCAGCTGCCGATGCTGGCAGATCTGGGCTATCAGGCCTGGGCGCCAAACCTGCGCGGATACGGTAACAGCAGTCGTCCGGAAGGCGTGGCAGCCTATGCTATTGAGTATCTGATGGAAGATGTTGCCCAGTTGATTGATGCCAGTGGCTGCAGCGAGGTCACGTTGCTGGCCCACGATTGGGGTGCGGTCATCGCATGGTATTTTGCGATGCGGAAAATCCGGCCGCTGAAGAATCTGATCATCTGTAATGTGCCTCACCCCCAGGGCATGTCAAACGACATGGGCTGGGCCCAGCTGAAGAAATCCTGGTATGTGTTTTTCTTTCAGGTGCCTGGGTTGCCGGAAAAACTTTTTTCTCGAGGTGATGGCAAAGGCATTGGTGATGTCATGCGTAATTCAGCGGTAGATAAGAGTCGCTTTCCGGACGAGGTGGGTGAGGTTTACAGGCGCAACGCCATGCAGCCTGGTGCTATGCAGGCCATGGTTAACTATTACCGCGCGCTGGTGCGCGGTGGTGGTGCTAAACGGCAGAAAGACCTGGGTTTTCCAGTCATCGACACCCCAACCCTGATGGTCTGGGGTGAAGACGATGTCGCGTTGACTAAAGAAACCACCTACGGCACCGAAGACTATGTGACCGATCTGACTATCCGCTATCTGCCGCGGGTGTCCCACTGGGTGCAGCAGGAGCAGCCCGAGGTGGTGAATGCCATGATCAAAGCGTTCCTGGTTGGGGAACCTGTACCTGAGCTGCGCTGGGAGGCTAAGCTCGAAAGCCCGTAAAAAAGCCCTTAGCCGTCTGCCATGACGGCAAGGTTTGGACCACGTCGCAGGTGATGCCCGCCATCAACGGGCAGCACTACGCCGGTAATCCAGGATGCTTCCGGTCCGCATAGAAAGCGTACCGCTTGACCGATGTCCTCTGCTTTACCGGTGCGCGCGATAGGCATACAGCTCAGATAGTCGTCACGCATGGCGGAATGTTCATGCAGCCCCTGGGACAGGTCGGTTTCCACCAGGCCCGGACCTACGCTGTTGACGCGAATATTCACAGCTCCGAGCTCGTCAGCGGTGTTTTTCACCAACATATCTACGGCCGCTTTGCTGACGCAGTAGGCGGTCATCATCTGGTGGGTCCTGGCTCCGGCGATCGATGAAATCGCACACATCGCCCCCCCACCATTGGCGGCCAGCGCTGCGCCGGCGTGTTTGAAGGTGTAAAAGGTGCCATTCAGGTTGGTGTCCAGAACCCGCTGCCATTCGCTGCTCTCGGTTGCCAGAAATGGACCCGCAGACCCTGTACCGGCATTGGCAATTGCGATGCTTAAAGGCATTTTTTCGTTTGCCTGCTGTACAGCCGCGGCGATGGCTTGCTCGTCTCCGATATCAGCAACAAGGTAATCGACGTTTGTTTTCAGCGTTGCTGCCGCGGCGCTAAGCTTTTCCCGGGTGCGCCCGACAATCGTGACGTGTGCGCCATCAGCGTGCAGTGCCGCCGCGCAGGCTAAACCGATACCGCTGCCACCGCCGGTGATAAATGCATGTTGACCTGTTAATGCTGCCATGTACGTGGTTCCTTCTGGTTTTTCTATTCAGTGCTGGTTGGAGATAGGCTGACATCAACATTGTAGCGGCAGGCCCGCAGGATGCGGACAAAAGTATGCATTGACGGTACTTTTCTGTTGGTTTCATAGGCATTCAAGGTCGCATGCGACGTGCCTGCAAGGCGCGCAACCTCGCGTAACCCCAGACCTGCCGCCAGCCTGGCTCGACGCATGCCGCCGCCAAGGTCGGCGGTCGGGTCAATCTGCATCAGGCGCTCTTGTATAGACACCGGTAAACCAATCGATCCAGCCTGCATTCTCCGGGTTGAACTGTTTCAGCTCCTGCAGCACTGAGCCGTCCGCTTGAGGTGTCCAGGTGCCTTTAAAAGGCGCCTGTAAACCATTTTCCTGATAGATAATATGTCCTTCCAGGTGCATTGCACCGCTGCTGGTTAGACCGCCGGAGTAATCGATGATGGCCCCGTCGCTGACCCAGAGTTGATACCATTTCATCGTTTTCGGGTTGTAGTAGTTGTAACTCTGTCCGGTGCCACCCTGGCGCCCCTGCCATTGTTCAACAATGAGACAGCCCTGCTCCTGAGCGGTAATCAGATTAGTACCTTGAAAATCCCCGCTCTTAGAATGGACGAGCCACTTGCCAAGTAAAAAGTCGAAAGCGCGATAGGCTTCGTCGGTGCAGTTTGTTGCGGCCGAAGCAGGCATCAGGGCAAACGGCATGACAAGCCAGCTTAAAATTAGTAACGATCTGGACATAAAGCTGCCTCGGTAAGTGTGCTGAGTGATTTATACTGGTTCGCTGATGACATTGCACTGACGACGTTCTGGTGCAGGCATAATAAAAACAAGGAGGGGTCTTGCGGACATTGGTCTGGTTTAAAAATGATTTGCGGGTCAGCGACCATCCGGCCTTAGCCGCGGCGCGAGATCATGGGCAGGTAATCGCCTGCTACTGCATGTCTGCAGCGCAGTGGCGTTCACACGATATGGGTGACTGGCGTTTGGCTTTTCAGCTCAGAACCCTTGATGCCCTGCAAGCTCAACTGCAGCGCCTGAATATTGAGCTGTTCATCGTTGATGCGCCTGAGTTTTCTGATGTACCGGGCGCGCTGACTGACTTATGTAAACGTTTGCGGGTCGATGCACTCGAAACAATTGATGAATATCCGCTCAATGAACGCCTTAGAGATAACGCCGTAGAACAGGCGCTGCTTGAGATAGGGGTGCAGGTCAACCGTCATGTAGCGGATGTTCTGGTTGAACCGGGTGTTCTGAAAACAGGTAGCGGTGGTCCGTATACGGTTTTCACGCCTTTCTATAAAAAATGGAGAGAGCGCGCCGAAAACGCGGCTAATCAGACGTGTGCTGTTCCTCAGCCACAAGCGCGTTTTGAGTTGCCCGTGGTTGAGCAGGAAAATCAGGTGCCTGTAGAGGTAGACGGGGTAGATCGTTCGCTTGGTGAATCATTGTGGCCCGCTGGGGAAGAGGTTGCACAACAGCTGTTGGACACCTTCATCACAACCCGTGCAGAGCGCTATCCTGACGATCGTGATCTGCCGAGTCTGGCAGGCACAAGTGGGCTGTCTGCACACCTGGCTGTTGGGTCAATATCAGCGCGGCAGTGTGTGTCTGCCGCGTTGCGGGCATCCATGCATGATACCCAGGCAGCAGACGGTTTGCAGAAGTGGGTGAGTGAGATTGCCTGGCGGGATTTCTATCGCCATATCGTGGCCCAGTTTGATCACGTTAATAAAGGCGCGGCGTTCCGCAGAGAGAAAGACCATCTGCCGTGGCGCCATGCCCCGGATGAATTGCAGGCCTGGCAGCAAGGGGTTACCGGTTATCCATTGGTGGACGCGGCGATGCGCCAGCTCAATGAAACCGGCTGGATGCACAATCGTTTGCGGATGATCGCAGCGATGTTTCTCACCAAGCACCTGCTGATTGACTGGCGCGCAGGTGAAAGGTATTTCATGCACAAACTGGTCGACGGGGACTTTGCTTCGAATAACGGCGGCTGGCAATGGAGTGCATCCACCGGTACAGATGCGGCACCCTATTTCCGTATCTTCAACCCGACCTCCCAGGGTACAAAATTTGATCGGGGGGGCGCGTTCACTACCCAATACGTACCAGAGCTGAGTGGATTGGATGCAAAATACATGTTCGAGCCACACAAAGCCGGTGTTACTTTTTATCCTGCGCCGATAGTGGATCACCAGTTTGCGCGGGAGCGTGCGTTAGCTTTTTTTAAGGCAAACCTGTAGCGTTCGGGAGAAATCGAGGGGGATTTAATATGTTGACCAAAGGGGATGATTTTCCCATTCATCAGACGCCGGAACCGATTGCGTATACCGGCGCTGCGCGTAATTTTTATGACCGTTATTTCTTTAACGGTTACCACTTACATGAAGATATCTTTTTCGCAGCTGCGCTTGGTGTTTATCCGTACGTTAACGTGATGGATGCCGCGTTCAGCTTAATCATTGATGGTGTTCAGCATAACCTGATTGCGTCACGGGTTCTTAATATGGAACGTATGGACACTCAGGTCGGACCCATTTCGGTGCAGGTTTTAGAGCCTCTGCAGAAATTGCGTTTGCAGATAGACGACACTGCCCGCGGGTTGCGCGCTGATCTGACCTTTACCGGCCGTATAGCCGCGCAGGAGGAACCGCGGTTTACGCGTCGTGTCGGTAGTGCGCTAACGATGGACTCTACCCGCTTGACCCAGAACGGCAGCTGGCAGGGTTGGATCGAACACAAAGGCCGGCGTACTGAGGTGACACCTGAACTATGGCTTGGTACGCGGGACAGGTCCTGGGGGGTGCGCAATATTGGCGCTGCGGATTCTCAGCCTAATCCTATGGCACCAGAGCACTTTCAGTTTTACTGGCTCTGGGCGCCCATTAACTGGGAGGATGGTGTCAGCCTCTATCACTTGAATGACGATGAGTTGGGTCGACCGTGGAATACCAACGGTGTGTTTGTGCCAACGGGTGAAGGGGCAGTGACGGAACAGATGGTTCAGGTCAGTTCGCTGATAGACTTCAAGCCCGGTACCCGTCATGCGCGCGCTGCAAAAATCAGGTTTACCCGCCATCAGGCAGGAGAAATTGAAATCAGCATGACACCCCGGTATCACTGGTACATGAAAGGCGTCGGTTATGGGCATCCAGAGTTTGGTCACGGGACTTACCATGGCGAGTTTGACAGCACCTATGAAGAATATGCGCTGTGTGACGTAGATGATGCCACTAATCTGCACATACAGGCGATCTGTGACGTACACATGACCGGTGATCTGGGTGAAAAGAAAGGTCGGGGTGTACTCGAGCAGCTGATCATAGGGCCACATGCACCTTCTGGATTTAAGGACCTCATGGATATGGCGCCGTGAGCGATAACAGTGGTCCGTTAGCCATTTATGCCGCTGACCTGTTTGCGGGTAAATGTGTGCTGGTCACCGGTGGCGGTCGCGGTATTGGTCGCGAAATTGCATTGGCATTTGCCCGGTTGGGTGCAGATTGTGTGATTGCCAGTCGGAACATGGAAAACCTGGCGCCGACTGCTGCCGAGATTGAAAAGCTGGGCAGGCGTTGCCTGGCTTTACCGGTAAACATCCGCGATCCACAAGCCGTCACCGAGATGGTTGATGAAGCGATCCAGACCATGGGTAAAATCGATTTCCTCATCAACAACGCAGGTGGACAATTTCCTGCCAATCCACTGGATATTTCCGATAACGGCTGGCGCGCGGTGGTGGACCTGAACCTCAACGGTACCTGGAATGTCACCAACCGGGTAGGCAAACATATGGTAGCCAACAATTTTGGCGCCATCGTTAACATCGTGCATATTTATTCGTACGGCCGCGGCGCTCCAGACTTTCCTCATTCAGGCGCCGCTCGTGCCGGGGTGGTCAATTTGGCGAAAAGCCTGGCGTTTCATTGGGCGCGGCACAATGTGACCATTAACAGTGTGGCGCCTGGCACCATCAACACAGCGGGGGTGCGGGAAGAAGAGTTTGCCGCTTCGGATAAAACGGATTACGAATCCCTGGCTACGGCGCAGATTCCGGCGAAGCGATTAGGCGAAGCTGACGAAACTGCAGCGTTGTGTGTGTTTCTGTGTTCACCTGCTGCAAGGTACATAAACGGTTCAGACCTGGTGGTAGATGGTGGTAATTACCTGGCAAGCTGGGTACCGATTATTGATCCCGAATAAGGAGAGCTGTGATGCGTTATGTCATTTGCCTGGCGCTGGGTTTGGTTGGGGGCTTTGTTGGCAGCTATTTGTTTGAGTTGCAAAGAACATCACCAGAGCTGACCATTCTGTCTACGCCGGAACAGGATGCATTGAATCTGCCTTTTGCTGAAGGCGTCCAGCTTGGCGATGTTATCTATCTCTCGGGACAGTTGGGTGTCAAACCCGGTACGCTGGACGTGGTGCCTGGTGGTATCGGCCCACAGACGCGGCAGACGTTGGAAAACATTAAAGCCTCCCTGCAACGTTATGGGTCCAGCATGGACCAGGTGCTTAAATGTACTGTGTTCATGGCGGACATGGCCGACTGGCCAGCCATGAATGTGGTTTATCAGGAGATGTTTGCCGGGCATCGTCCGGCCCGTAGTGCCTTGGGTGCTGGCGGTCTCGCTCTGGGTGCTGAGTTAGAAATCGAGTGTATTGCGCGCGTGAATCGTTAAAATGTCCATTCGCTATTTGTAACGTTAATAAGAAAGTAGAGGAAAGTATGGAAATCCAAGGCAGTAAAGGCATTTTTGTCGGTGGCGCATCTGGTATGTGTCGCGCAACAGCGGCCAAATTTGCAGAGAAAGGTGGCCAGGTTGCAATCTTGGACTTAGAAAAATCAGACGGTGCTGCAGTTGCTGCAGAACTGGGCGGTACGTTCATGCCTTGTAATGTCATGGACTATGACGGCATGGCCGATGTGATGGGTGAAGCGGTCAAGGCTCTGGGCGGTCTGCATTTCATGGTTAACACCGCAGGCGGCGCGGTGGCGCAACGCACCATCAAAAAAGACGGTTCACGACATTCCCTGGATGACTTCCGTCGCATAGTTGATCTGAACCTGATTGGCTCCTTCAATATCAATACCATCGCAGCGGAGCATATGGCTAAAAACGAGCCTAACGAAACCGGTGAGCGTGGCGTGATGTTGAACACCGCATCCATTGCTGCGTTTGAAGGGCAGATTGGTCAGGTAGCTTATACTGCCGCTAAAGCAGGTATTGCCGGGATGACCCTGACCATGGCCAGAGACCTGGGCATGTTAGGTATTCGTTGTATGACTATTGCGCCAAGCTTGTTTGATACCGGCCTGACTGCCGGCATTCCAGACGAAGGCGCGCTGCAGCTGACAAAAGATGCGGCTTTTCCAAAGCGAATGGGCCATCCTCACGAATATGCAACGATGGCTATTGCCATTTTTGAATGTGCCATGATGAACGGCTCAACCATTCGGGTTGACGCCGGACAGCGCTTCGCGCCTCGCTAGGTTTAGCAGGCTAGGCTTTGTTCAGACCAGGCCCTCGAGGAAAGATCGCATATAGCGGTTCACTTCTTCGGGGGCTTCCTGTTGGGTCCAGTGCCCAACGTCTGGAATCAGCTCATTGATGCGCAGATCGGTCACATAGCTGGGCATGTCCTGCAGCGCCTGGGCAGCCATCACAATGACCCCGTCTTTGTCGCCCGCAACAAACATTGCAGGCTGGTGGATTAGCGTGGGTGCACCTTCGGTCAATTGCCACGTTAAGTTGTGGTTTCGATAGTAGTTCAGCGGCCCGCGGAATGTGCTGCGGGTGAATTCCTCAACGTAAAAGTCCAGGTCGGCATCGCTGAGCCACGGTCCCATCTTTGCCGGGTCCGGCAGGTCGGACAACATATCCGCATCAGCGGGTTTAGGCTCCAGCAGCCCGATCTCCATCTGCGCGCTGGCCATGTGGTAAAACTTGCGCAGGGATGAACGCACGTTAGCTTCAAATTCCGCTTCGGCAACACCAGGTTCCTGAAAATAAAGCTGATAGAAAAACTGATCTTTGAAAAACGCTTTCATTGCATCAAGTGGCGGTACCGGCGAGCGAGGGCTGAAGGGCACTGACAGCACGCCGACAGCAGACACTTTGTCGGGGTGGTTCAACGCGCAACTCCATGCCGTTGGGCCGCCCCAGTCATGGCCAAAGACAATGGCGCTTTCGTAGCCCAGGGCGGGTATCAGCCCGATGATGTCGTTAACCACCTCAACCTGATTGTAGGCGCTGATGTCGGCTGGCTTGTCAGAGTCACCATAGCCGCGCATATCCGGTGCAACGGCATGGTAGCCGGCGTCCGCTAACATCTGGAACTGGTGACGCCATGAATACCAGGACTCCGGAAACCCGTGACACATCAGCACCAGTGGCCCGTCTCCCTGTTCCGCTATATTGAGCTTGATGCCGTTAGTGGCAATACGTCGATTGGTGATGTTCGGAAAGTTGTTGGATATGGTCATGTCTGCTCCCTCAAGGTGGGTCTATGAAAGCATAGCCGGTGGATCTTCAGCAAATTCTGCTCGTGATTTCTCTTATCTCGCCAGGGATTGAAAAGACTGCACTATGCGTAGTCGATGAGCTGTTCAAACAGGTCATAATTTTGTTTTAATCAAAGGCTGTTTGAAGGGGATATCATGAATTTCGATTTTTCAGATGATCAGAAAATGCTTGCCGATCAGGTGCAACGTTATCTGCAGGAACGCTGTCCAGTCAGTCGTGTACGACAGGTACTTGAGCAGCCACCAAGATTTGCCGAAGAAGTCTGGCAGGGGCTCGCTGAGCTGGGTTTGCTGGGCACCGCTGTGCCCGAGAGCTATGGTGGTACCGGTGCCGGTTATGCGGAGCTGTGCCTCGTTGCTCAGCAGATCGGTCGCCACATCGCACCAGTGCCATTCGGTTCTACAGTCTATCTGCTGACAGAAGCGCTGTTGCAATTCGGTTCGGAAGCGCAGAAGCAGCAATGGTTACCAAAAATCTGTAGCGGTGAAGTCAAAGGTGCGCTGGCGACGACCGAGGCGCTTGAGCAACTGGCACAGGCGCAGGTGCATGCCAGTGTGGAAGCCGGTCGTCTCAGCGGCGAGAAGCTCATGGTGGCTGATGGCAGCATTGCAGATGTCTACCTGGTGCTGGCAAAACAGAATGATCAACTGGGTTTGTACCTGGTGCCCGCGGACGCTTCGATTCAGACCTCTACGGTTGATTCGGTAGACCTCAGTCGTGATGTTGCCCATGTCACTTTTGACAATACCCCTGCAGAGCTTCTGCACGAACAAGGCTGGTCCGGTTTACAAGCACTTTACCAGCGTGCAGCGGTCCTGTTTGCTTTTGAACAGCTGGGTGGTGCTCAGAGAGCGCTTGAAATGGCGGTAGATTACGCCAAGGAACGTTTTGCATTCGGGCGTGCCATTGGGTCATTCCAGGCGATCAAACATATGCTGGCAGACATGTTTGTTGCCATGAAACTGGCGGAATCAAACTGTTACTACGCGGCATGGGCATTGGACAACAATGCACCTGAATTACCCCTGGCTGCGGCAACGGCCCGGGTAGGTGCCACTGAAGCCTTTCAGTTATGTGCCCGCGACAACATTCAGGTGCATGGCGGTATGGGGTTTACCTGGGAGTTTGATTGTCACCTTTATTATCGACGCTCTAATTTTCTGGCGCTCGAGATTGGCGGTTTAAGTGAATGGGAAGACCGGCTTGCCCAGGCGCTCCCACTACAGAACATTGCATAGAGGAAAGATCAATGGATTTCAGTGATTCCCCCGCACAGGCCGAGTTTCGTAACGAGGTTAAAGCGTTCATTAAAGCCAGTGCGCCACACTACCTGGCAGAAAATCTGCAGAAGAGTGGTTTTGGCAACACTAATACGGGTGAGTATGACACCCTCGAAGAAGCCAAGAAGTGGCAACGTACCAAGGCTGAAGCCGGCTGGGCGTGTCTGTCATGGCCGTCAGAATATGGTGGCCGCGACGCCAGCCCAATTGAAAATGTCATCTGGGCTCAGGAAGAAGGTGTGTATGGACGGTTGTCAGGCACGTTTATTATCGGTCAGGGCATGTGTGCGCCTACCTTGATGGCGTATGCCAGTGATACACACAAACAGCGCTACCTGCCTAAACTGGCCAGTGGTGAAGAAGTCTGGTGTCAGTTATTTTCCGAACCCCATGGCGGCTCGGATCTGGCTGGGCTTCGTACCCGGGCGGAAAAAGACGGCGATGAATGGGTGATTAACGGGCAGAAGATCTGGACGTCCGGGGCGCAGCATTCGGACTACGGTATTTTGATCACCCGTACCGACGCCACCGTGGCCAAACACAAAGGTCTGACCATGTTTTTCCTCGACATGAAGTCACCCGGCGTCAAAATTGTGCCGATCAAACAAGCCAACGGAAACAGCGAGTTCAACGAAGTCTATTTTGATAACGTGCGTATTCCTGATCACCAGCGTCTTGGTGAAGTGGGTGAGGGCTGGCGGGTTTCCATTACCACGCTGATGAACGAGCGCCTGGCAATCGGCGGTAGCATCGCCACGGGTTTCCCTGAAATTTATGATCTGGTCTCGAACCTGTCACTGCAGGGGCAGCCGGCTATAGACAACGCTGCGGTGCGTTCGAAGCTCGCGCAATGGTATGTGAAAGCCTCGGGCCTGAAGAACAGCAGTTCACGCATGTTAACGGCTTTAGCAAAAGGTGATAATCCTGGTCCGGAAGCCTCCATGGGAAAACTGGTGGCGGGCAATATGATGCAGGATATCGCTAAATTTGCCATCGACCTGCAGGGGCAGGCTGGCCTGTTAGTAGACCCGGAAATCGCAGAAGGTGCTGCGCGATTCCAGGCCATGCTGCTGCGTTCGCCAGCCGTGCGCATCGAAGGCGGCACAGACCAGATTCTGCGCAACATTATTGGTGAACGGGTGCTTGGACTGCCTGAAGATCTGCGCGCGGACAAAGGCATGCCGTTTAACGAAATCCCTACAGGGCTGGGTTAACGGTGCTCTAAACATCGACAACCAATTTGTCAGGAGCCAGGAACGGGATCAGCCGATCCGGCTCTCTACCAAACTGTACCAGGGTCTGGGGATTATCCCGGTCTCTTTAAAAGAGCTGGCGTTCAATACCTTCCTGCTCTTGTACTACAACCAGGTATTGGGTCTCTCGGCCAGTTACGCATCCTTTGCTTTGTTGATCGCGCTGGTTGTGGATGCGGTAAGCGATCCCATTGTCGGCTCCTTTTCCGATAACTTCCGCCATCGCCTGGGCCGGCGTCATTCGCTGATGTACGCCGCGTCTGTGCCGTTTGCCCTGTGTATCTATTTACTGTTCTCGCCGCTGCCAGCCGTTGCAGACTATCTGCATGTCTGGCTGTTGGTATTCGCCCTTGGTACCCGTCTGAGCTTTACCTTTTTTGCGGTTCCCTGGAATGCGATGTTTGCGGAACTGTCTGATGACTATAAAGAACGCAGCGAGCTCATCTCTTATCGCTTTGCGGTGGGCTGGATAGTCGGCATTGTGTTTGTTTTTTCGATCTACTCCTTCATATTTGTCGCCAGTGACGCCTACCCTCAAGGCCAACTTAACCCTGCGCATTACCAGACGTTTGCACTGGTGCTGTCGCTTACGGTGTTTGCTGGTGCGTTTTTGACGACCCACCTCACTCGGGATCAGATTCCATATCTGCGTCAGCCACCAGCGTCATTACGCCGTTTCAGTTTGCCTGTGCTGTGGGAGGAATTAGGTCTGGCGGTAAAAAACCGCAATTTCCGGGTGCTGATATTTGCGGTACTCGCCAGCGCTGTGGTGGGCGGTACCAACCAGGCCCTGCAGATTTACATGAATACCTACTTCTGGGATTTCAGTGGGGAGCAATTACGCTGGACGGCCGTAGCAGTGCTGGGTGGCCTGCTGGCTTTTTTTACCGTGCTGCCGTTACAGAATCTGCTGGACAAAAAATACCTGCTGGTGGCCTGTGCAGTTTCAATCATGGTGGTCACTATGGTGCCCGTCACCTTGCGACTGCTTGAACTTGCGCCTGCCAACGGTACGCCGGGGCTGGTGGTGATGATTGTTATCGCGGCGACCATTTCTGCCTATTTCGGCACCATCGCGTTGATTATGTTCACCTCCATGGTGGCAGATACCCTGGATGTACAGGAGTATGAAACAGGGCTGCGCCAGGAGGGGTTGTTTAATTCCGTGATGACGTTTTCCAGTAAAGCGACCACCGGCGCAGGTATTCTGATTGCGGGCCTGATTATCGATCATGTGATTGGCTTGCCCCAGGGCGCGCAGCGCGCGCAGATCACCCCGGAGATGATCTTCAGAATAGGCATTGTTGATGCTTACGTGGTGCCGCTTTTCAACGTGGTGTGGTTAAGCCTGGTGTTGAAGTACAGTATTACTCGGGACGAACATACACAGATCCAGCAGGTGCTGGCGCGCAGGCGTATGCCGGATTCGTTGGAGAGTTAACTTAGAAAATTTCTTACTTACTAAGGGGAATAAAAACAATGAGTTACGAAACTATTGTTACTGAGAATATTGATTCGGTATTGCTTATTACACTCAATAGACCAGAACGCCTGAATGCCTGGACCTATCAGATGGGTGCGGAATTGCGCCGTGCCATCGAAGCGGCCAACGGGGATGAAGAGGTCTCGGCCATTGTGCTCACGGGTGCTGGACGTGGGTTCTGCGCAGGCGCGGATATTGAAGCAGTCTTCAAAGCGCAAAGTGACGGGGCCGACGTTGCAAAAGAAGGTACCGGCGACTGGGTGACTCTGGTGCGCGAATCCAAACCTATGGTGGCGGCCATCAATGGTGCAGCGGTTGGCGTTGGTCTGACTCAGGTGCTGCCAATGGATTATCTGGTGGCTGCGCAAGGCGCCAAGTTATCAGTGCGTTTCGTGAAGATGGGTCTTGTGCCAGAGCTTGCCAGTTCACGTTTTCTCTTTGCACGCTGCGGTTGGGGGCAGGCAAGTGAATTGATGTTATCGGGTAAAACCATCGAGGCACAGGCTGCGCTTGAGATGGGTCTGGTCGACAAAGTGGTTGCACCGGATGATCTGGTGTCTACCGCCTGTGAAATTGCAGCGGGTATGGGAGAAAACCCCCAGAGTTCACTGCGCGCCATCAAAGCATTAATCAGTGCCAATGCCGGTTGTAACGATTACGCGGAAGTGCAGAGGCGCGAGATGTCCGCGCTGCATCAGGCTTACACTACAAGCGAGCATAAAGAAGCCATTGCAGCGTTCATGGAAAAACGCGCTCCGGACTTCAAGCGTGCGCGCTCGGAGGGCTGATCGTCATGGCGTATGAAATCAAAAAATTCTCTCACCCGGGTACCATAGATGCGGACGGTCATGTGCTGGAGCCGCCGGATCTGTGGGAAAACTACCTGGAACAGAAGTATCAGCATCGTGCGCTGCGCATTGGTGTTGATGATTCGGGGTATGAATATCTTGAAATTGATCAGGTGCCATCCAAACGCTCCCGTAAAGGATCACTAGGCCTGCTGGGCGCCATGGGTGAAGAAGATATGCGGCCGAGCCCTGAGCGCCGCTACATTGACAACATTCCTTTTGGGGCCAGTGATCCACTAGAGCGTCTGCAGCTGATGAGCCAGGAAAATCTGGAATGTACTTTGCTGTACCCAACCCTGGGGTTGCTCTGGGAAGTTGAGCTGGCAGATCCGGAGCTTAGTCTGGCTTACTGCCGTGCCTACAATCGCTGGATCGCTGATTTCTGTCGCGAATCTTCCGGCAAGCTGGTGCCCATTGCGCATTTAACCCTGTTGGATGTGGAGGGCTCGGTGGCTGAGCTCGAGCGCGCTGTAAAAGACGGGTGTAAAGGTGCATGGGTTAATCCTTTTAATCACAACAAGATCATTCACGGCGATGCCCGGCACGATCTGCTGTACCAGAAATGTATGGAGCTGGATGTACCGTTTGCTTTGCATCCGACATTTACACCGCACGGGGCGGCAGAAGGTATTTTTGACTGGCCGCGCGAAGGTCGAGCCTGGGCTGAAGCCATCTGGCTGCGTTCTATTGTGCAGCAGGCGCTCATTTCCTATTTTTCGCTGGGCACCCTGGAGCGCTTCCCGCAGCTTAAGCTTGGCGTGCTTGAAGCCGGGTCCGGCTGGATCGGCGCGATGTTGGACCGACTGGATGCGTACACGGCATCACTCAATATCAATCGACCCAGTGCAACAGAAACCTTTCGCAAGCAGTGCTTTATCTCCGGGGACCCGGACGAAACCGCCGCGCCACACATTATTGATCACGTAGGTGCGGATTGTTTCATGTGGGCTACGGATTATCCGCACCCGGACCATCCGCACACCTGGGTGGATGACCTGGAAAAATATGCCGCGCGCCTGTCACCACAAACCCGACAGAAAGTATTGGGCGGCAACGTTAAGCGTATTTATAAACTGGACTATTAAGACGAACAGAAGCGGGGAGGCTTTTATGGCTTATATCGACAATCAGACCATCCATGATGCAGATTCGCATGTCATGGAGTTGCCCGAGAAGATCCTCGAGTATCTTGAAAGTGATTATCAGGCAGAGTTTTCTGAGTTTGCTGCGGCAAAACTGCGCATGCCGGAAGATATTAGCAGGGCGGTAAAGCAGCAGGACAATGCTGTTTTCCGCGCGGATGAAGCGCAGGAGCTGATGCTGCGGAAAAATCACCTGGCCTTGGGCGCCTACCGCAATAGCGACCGTCCGAAGTGTCTCGACCTGCTGGGTTTTTCGAGTCAGCTGGTGTTCACCACAGCGGCGCTGGGTAATTATGGTTTGGAAGAGGCGGGCAAACCTGAGTTAGCTCTTGCAGCGGCACGCGCGCACAATCGCATGAACGCAGATTTCTGTTCAGTAGATAAAAGGCTGCTGGCAACTGGCTATGTGCCGCTGCTGGATATCGAAGCAGCACCTAAAATTGCAGAAGAAGCGCTGCAGTTAGGCTGTAAAGCCCTCATGATCCCTTCGAAATGTCCGGCAGGTCACAGTCCCAGTCACATTGGCTTTGAGCCACTGTGGTCGTTGGCAGAAGAGGCGGGTATCCCCATTGTGTTTCATGTGGGTGGTGAGGAAAAAATGGCGGACAGCTACTTTGAAAATGGTTTGCCGCGGGTGAAAGATTTCCATGGCGGTGAAGAAAACTTCACCGGTTTGAGTTTCATGTCTATTCCCATCGCCATCTGGCAGAGCATGGCAGCCATTATTTTTGATGGCGTGCTTGATCGTCACCCCAATCTCAAGTTTGGTGCTATCGAACTTGGCGCCGCATGGTTGCCAAGTTGGCTGCAGTTCATGGATTCAGCCTGGGGTGCCTTTCGTAAAGGTGAAGCGCGTCTGCAGAATTTGTCGGATCGCCCCAGCGAAATTGCCAGGCGACAGTTTCGGGTTACCCCCTACGCGCATGAGCCAACTGGTTGGATCATGGATAATTCGAGTGAAGATATGCTGTTGTTCTCTTCAGATTTTCCCCATGTGGAAGGCGGTCGAAACCCGATCAAACGCTTCTCAGACAACATGCCTGAGGTGAGCGAGGTAGCACGACAGAAATTCTATCGGGATAATTTCATCGATCTGATGGGCGCGGGTCTGGATATCAGTCTGCACGATCATCCGTCTGTGGCAGCTTCACTTGGCCCTACGTGAACCTTCGGAAGATGTCGTCCAGGTGCTGGCCAGCTATCCGCCCAAGGTGTCGAAGCGCCTGCAGCAGGTGCGCAAGATCGTGCTGACAACAGCAAATCAGCTGGGTGTTGGTGAAGTGATCGAAACCCTGAAGTGGAATGAGGTTGCTTATCTGCCGGCAAACGCGGGAATAGGGTCGACGCTGCGGATCGGTTACAGCGATAAAATGCCCCAGCACTATCAGCTGTATGTGCACTGCGGCACGAACCTTATCGACATGAGTAAAACTCTGTTCCCGGAACTGTCTTATCAGGGTAACAGGGGTATTGCGTTTAAACTGGACGAGCCGTTACCTCGGGATATATTGATCATGTTGACCGAAATGACCCTCACATATCATCGCACCAAACGCAAACACGTTGCCGCCCGTTAAACACATCTTCTTTGATCTGGATGGTACGCTGACCGATCCGAAACTCGGCATAACCCGCTGTCTGCAGTTTGCTCTGGCTGAGATGGGTGAACCTGTGCCGGATACCCAGGCGTTAACCTGGTGTATCGGTCCGCCACTACTAGACAGTTTTGCTCAGCTGGTTGGTGCAGAGCGCGCTCAGCAGGGGGTTGATCTTTACCGCCAGCGCTTTGCTGATGTGGGTCTGTTCGAAAACAGCCCCTATCCGAAGATTCACGATACGCTGGAATCCATCATCCAGCGCGGTCACGTTTTATTTGTGGCTTCGAGCAAGCCGAAAGTGTTTGTTGACCGGATTCTGGCGAAATTCGAATTGATCGAATTCTTCAGCCAGACTTATGGCTCACATCTGGATGGTAGTCTGACGGACAAAAGTGAGCTGTTGTCTCATGCCTTGCAGCACAGTGCCGTATCCCCCGGGACATCTCTGATGATAGGCGATCGTAAACACGATGCTATTGGCGCTCAAAGCAACCAGATGAACTTTGTTGGGGTGTTATACGGTTATGGTGATCAGGCCGAATTTGACGCGGTGGGCGTGGCCGATCTTGTGCATGACCACGCCGATCTGTTGACCCTGTTGAGCTAGCGCCCCAGGAATGCGGAAATGCGCTCTCGGAGATTAGTGCGCATATTCATATGGAACAGACTGTAGTCGTAAACGTGCATGCTGTTGCCTAACATTCTCGAGGGAAAAGCATCACTTTTGAGGTTGTGTACTGCCAGCTGTCCACCCTCACACTGTGCATCTGCAACGCCGACCTCCACGTTCATTGCAGTAACGTCTTCGTCCGGTTTACCTCGTCCGTAGGTGGGGTAGCCGATAGCGCCCGTATTCAAGCTGTTGTCTGCGTACTCCTCATCAACCCGCCAGGTCAGGGGGTTTGTGCATAACAGGTTGTCTGTATCGCCAAAAGCGCCGCTGCCTGAACCCTCCATAGCATTCCAGCCAATGGCGCAGTGTACATCTGTGGGCGTATCGCATGCGGGTACGTCTCCCAGTTGCTCGTGGGATACTGAAAAGCCAATCAGATATGCGGCGACCATGCGGTCGAGGAGAGGAGTATCGGCTATCCGCGCATCCAACAGTTGTGTTGCGTGACGCGTACCCTGGGAATGGCCTGCAATGATAAAAGGCGTAGATGGCCCGATGCGTGTGAGAAACTCAGAAAACGCTTCATCGACATCGTCATAAGCAAGCTTTAAGGCCTGCTGGCTGCTGCTGCTGTTGTCCAGGAAGGCGAAAAAGGTGGCCTGTCGGTAGCGTGGTGCGTACACATCACAACAGCCGTTAAAAACGGAGGCTTGATGTCTGAGTATTCTCTGATCAACAACCCAGTTGGCGTCTTCGTCAGACAGGGGCTGGTTCCAGCCTTTTTTACTGATAAATGAGGTGGGGTGGACAAAGAACACCGCAACATCAGTGGGCATTACACTTACCCCCTCGGGTAAGTCGTCAGCTGGGTCTGTCAGGGTGGGTAGCGATGCCCAGCTCTGGTCGGCGCTGTAATCTGGCGCCGCTGGTACGCTGTCCGGGCTGAAAACCTGTTCCGGCTTAATTTGTGAACCGACCAGGGCCATCATCAAAGGCTGTCTGAATATGTACGCGGCAATCATGGTGACCACGATGATGACGGCCGCTGAGAGCAGAAACTTTTTCAAGGCACTTATCCTGGTCGGTTTGTTCTATCGGTAAACAGGTGGTTAGGTCGAATCTTCTTGTATTCAGCCAGCACAGGTGCAAATTCCTCTGGGGTGCTGGCGTGGATAATGATGCCGTCAGCACCGGCGGTGAATTGATCTACCCAGCGTTGGGCGCAGGTTTTTGCATCCCCGACGGCAGCTGGGCGCCAGTGTTCCGGAATCAGCTTGGCAACTTCTGCAATCTGCTGGGTGCTGGCAACACTGTCAATTGCCCCACCGACAGAGGTGACGGCTTTGTGTGTGCGGAAAGTCTGAAGAATCTCAGGGTCCCAGTTGTTGACCGCGACCAGCATGTCGCCATAGCCCGGAATCTGCAGGTAGGTTGCCAGGCGCGCGATGATAAATTTGAGGTACTTTTCCTCTGGCACGTCACACGCGGTTGCGAGCACTGACCACAGCTTACCTTTGCCGACGGTCTTGCCGGCCTCGGCTTCGCCTTCCCGGAACTGTTGCACGGCATTGCTCAGTGCCTGGTCGCTCATGAACGTGTGCAGATGGGCGCCGTCATAAACGGAGCCTGCGTGCCGCAAACTTCTGGGACCAAAGCCAACGTATAAGATCGGTATATCTTCCGAAACGTACGGGGCGAGACTCAGAGCGCCAAATTTACCCAGTGCGCCGTCATGTCCAACAACGGTTTCACCCCGCCACAACCTACGCATCAAGTCGATGAATTCTGCCTCGCGTGCAAAGGTAGGCGTCTTCAGACCCCAGGCTTTCCAGCGCAGGTTTACTCCTTTCGCAAGTCCCAGCGCAAAACGACCTTCTGACAAGCTGTTTAAAGTGGAACCCATGGAGGCGGTAACCACAGGGTGGCGGGTATTGAGGTTGGTGCCTGACGTGCCGATATAGATGTTATCCGTTACCGCTGCACAGGCCCCACATATGGCTGCTATTTCCTTGTAATCAGAGCGTTCGGATAACATCACGTTGCCAATGCCCAGAGCTTCTGCATCTCGTACCTGCTGCAGCACATCGGCTGGTGTGCGTGTATGACCAGGTAAGCCATAAAAGCCGAGTTCAGGAAATTCAGAAGTGTAAGTAGGGTGTGTCATAAGATTTACGGCTGTAGCGATTTAAGATAAGAATTAAGAAAAGTGCCTTTTGCGTCAACGCTGTTTCTGACCCGCCACCAGTCGCTCCAGCGACTGTGCTGACCGGCAAGCTGTTCGCGATTCAGGTAGTTGACCTTGCCCCAATGCGGGCGGCCTTGGTAGTGCAGAAAAATTTCTTCACAGGCGCGAAAATAGTTTTCATCATCCTGGCTGATGTCCTCATGTACCGAGATGGTAACGCTCGGTCGCTCATAGGCCGTCGATAACCAGACGTCGTCAGCGGCGAGGGTTCGATATTCAACAGGCCAGCGCACATCTGGAAAGTCTGTTTGCAGCAGCTGCTGGATGTCATGCATACACGAAGGGCCGTTCTCAAACGGCACGCTGTACTCCATTTCAGTATGTTTGTGTGGTCGATGATTCGGCAGCACTTCGTAGCTCCATGCGCAGCGCTCACCTTCATCGCCTAAAGGATATTGAGCGGGCTCTTCGGTCCGATCGATGGATTTACCACGGGCTTCATCTGTGTGGGGATACCAGAAGAATTCGTGATGGCGGTGAGTCGCGGCATCTTCTGCAAAGTGCGCAAGGGTATCGGCTAGGTTTGCAGTCCAGCTGTGTTCCTTTAACCGGTAGGCCTCTTCGAGCTGTATGTGTAGCCGGGTGATGATGCCAAATGCACCCAGGTGCAGTCGACTGGCCTGCCAGAGTTCTGCATTGTGCGCTGGTCCGCACTCAATCAGCTCGCCGCTGGCGAGCGCAATGCGTGCGCCAATCACAGTTGATGACAGATTTTTTAAGCGGGTGCCGGTGCCGTGGGTGCCGGTGGCGGTTGCACCACAAATAGCCTGCTGGTCAATGTCACCCTGATTGGTGAGAGCCAGGCCTGCGGCGTGCAGGGGTTGTCCCAGGGCGTAGATGCGCGTGCCTGCACCTACCCATGCGGTTTTAGCGGTTTGATCGATATCAAAAATGCCCGTGAGTCCTTGAGGGTCTGCCACGATGTCATCGCTGACAACCAGTGGTGAGTGGCTGTGGGTGGCTCCGGCGACGCGGATCTGATGACCGTTGGCATCGGCTTGTTTAGCCAGGGCAGCAGCGTCTGCTTCGCTGCGCAGAAAAGCGATGCGGTTCGGTTTGGCTCTGAGTTTTCCCGACCAGTTCTGCCAGTTCATAGTCAGCCTTTGACGTGCAAGCCATCAGTTTTAAGAAGGACTCACTATAGAGTGATCTACGGGAAATGTGGATACTGAGGCTTCATTGAAGGAGATTGAACATGCCCAGACTGAAACAAGTACCTCGCGCAGAAGCCGATGCCAGTGTCATTCCCTATTACGACGCGTTGTTTGGACCCGACCGGGACCCGGTGGCGGAGCCTGGTACGGCAACGGGAACGCCGGGCGACTGGTGGACTGTATTTGCGCAGGTGCCAGATTGTCTGCACCACATGGTCCTGGGTTTTCAGTTTTATCGTGGTGAGAACCGCCAGTTATCCGGCCGGTTGCGCGAGCTGGGCCAGGCGCGTGCCGGTTTTGCACGGGGCAGTCAGTTCGTTTTTTCACAGCACTGTAAAGCGTTGCGGGCGGCGGGGTTTTCAGAAGAACAGATCAGCGCGATACCGCACTGGTCGGCTACTGACCTGTTTTCAGATGTAGAGCGCGCGGTGCTGGCGTATACCGACGACCTGGTTTTGCAGGGTGGTCGTGTCGCAGACGGCACTTTTGAGCTTCTCAGATCCCATCTGAACGATGTAGAGATCATTGAACTGACGTATATCACCTGTACCTATGAGTTGCACGCCACCATGACGCGCGCCCTGCGGCTTGAGTTTGATGACGTGGATGAACGCATTGTGGAAGTGGCCGTACCTGAAGGTGAAAAGCGCGATATGGATTTCTTCCAGAATCTGGATGAGTAGTCTAAATATCGCCGCTGTTGCGCAGTGCCGCCAGGTCCTCTTCGCTGTAACCCACGGAGAGCAGCATCTCGGTGGTGTAGGTGCCTACTTCACCACCAGGCCAGTCTGTTGCGCCTGGGCTGGCACTGAGTTTCGGCAGGATGGCCGGGATGGTGAGCTCCCCTTGCGGTGTTTCGACGCGCTCGAATAAACCTCTGGCCTGGTAATGTGGGTCTTCCATCATATCCGCAACGCTATAGATCGGCCCCACTGGAACATCTGCAGCTTCCAGAATTTGAATCACT